AGAGAGAAAGTCTTCCTTTTGCCGTTGGTTCACCCTCCAATGGGCACCACGGCTGGCACGCTGCGGTCGGCGCACCGGGTGATCTGATGCCAGGAGCCAGGTGCTTCTCCTGGTTTCCCATGGGGGGCAGGGCCCAAGCACTTGGGCCATCCTCCACTGCACTCCCGGGCCACAGCAGAGAGCTGGCCTGGAAGAGGGGCAACCAGGACAGAATCCAGCGCCCTGACCGGGACTAGAACCTGGTGTGCCGGCACCACAAGGCGGAGGATTAGCCTAGTGAGCCGCGGCGCCGGCCCCAGTAGGCACTTTTCTAACCCCATTTTACAGATTTGGAAAGTAAAGCTCAGAAATGTCACTTGCCTGTGGTCACAGAAGGAGCCGACATTTGAGCCCGGGTTGGTGGGGCAGCGGAGTCCCTGCACCAGAGCTGGCCTGCAGCCTCTCACGGGCAAGGTGCAGGGGCACATGCACACGGCAGGGGCTGTCTTTTTGGGCAGAGGTCAGTGAGTCTGTGCTTGTCCATTGCCCCGCCCCCCGCCACCCCATAACAGCAGGCCCAGGCAGGGGACCCAGAGAGGCCTTCTGGTCCCTGTGGAATAGGCCAGGAGCAGGATGAACCACATGAGAACATGTACCCCCCGATGAGGCCAAAGCCTCCACAGCCGGGGATATGAAAGCAGATTAATTTGAGAAAAGGTCTCCTTTGCAGTCTGGAAGACCCCTGCAGTGTTGCATGGACTCTTGTTACTGCTGCACTCACACACACACACTCACACACACACACATACACACACTCATTGCCTGGGACCCGGCCCCTGTGGGATGGAGATATGTGTGTGCATACAGGCCTGTGTATATCCCCTTGTGCAAAAATGGTAAATTCTCAAGATTCAGTATCTTCAGTTGGGAAAATCAATTTACTTCTTTGAGGAGGCTGGAATCGAAAAGTCGTGAGCCTGAAACTTACTTTCTTGCCAATTTTTCTGATATAAAAAAAAAGCGTCTCCATCCTGGCAGATCGCCCCGTATTGGCTGCTCTAGATGATTCCATTAATTGATTTGGGTGACTGGCCCCGAAGCAGTCCTTACTAAGGCTCCCGCCAGAGCCGGGGCAGGCAGGATGACGCAGGACCAGTAGCTATGTGGGACTGTGGTCCCTGCGGTGGGGACGAGGGGTGCCGGCCAGTGGCAGGAGCTCAGGACTCTGCTACCCAGGCCCAAAAGGACGGGAGAGAGGCCCAAGATTCCAGCAGAGGCCTGGCTTTCTCTCTCCGTGCCTGGATCACTCAAGGACAGAGCAAGAGGGGAAACAGAGGCCATGAGCCGATGTGGTTGAGAATGGGGGCCCCAAGGTATAGGACAAGGACAGTGAGTGATCATTCTAGGAAAGATGGTTCCAGGCGCATCTGCCTAAAGATGACGGGGGTGGTGGATTTGTTGGCACCGGAGCCAGGAGCGTGGAACCTCCTGAAATCAGCGTCACAGACAGCTTCGTGCCTTGTCACCGCTCGTCTTAACTGGGCCACACTCTGTTCTCCCTTCTCCTCTTCCCCATTCAGCTCCTTCACCCGCTGGGGGTTTTCAGATGTCTGGTCCCCAAAGCCCATCTGGCTCAACACCCTCACCAGCCCCCAGCCGAGAGTGCTATCTTTGTCTCTGGTGTTGTGTTGCTGGAAAGAACATATGTTTTGGTGTCAGGCACGCTTGTGTGTAGGGGGAGTGGGGGCAGGGTGGGGAGAATGCCAGGAGGAGTGTGGGGAAGGAGGGAAAGTTCTCATCCCATTCGGAGACGGAATAAGCAGGGCGGCGCCCCAAGTGGGCGCTGTCGGGCTGCTTCTGCCAGGACTCTAGATGTATTGGGTGGGTGACTGGTTGTGTGGGAAGGTGAGTGGGCGAGGAGAAGAGAGGAGTGGGCAGTGGGTGATGGACATGTGGCTAAGAGGTTGGGGGGGTGGCAGGATGGGAGGGTGGCTCAGCAGGTAGCTGGCTGGGTGCACAGTCAGCTAGTGGCATTAGCTGCTGTGCACAGTGTGTGGCGAGAGCATGGTCAGTGGAATGAGGGGAGGGAAGGAGGAAGGAGTGGGTGGATGCATTAGGAGGCATAAGGAGAATCTTGATTGCCCTCCTGGTTCCCACCTCTGGTAGAAGAGGGAGGATTTGGAAGGCAGGAGAAACAGAAATGGACAGGAGCTGCAGCCCCCAAACGGAGAGCGGTGTTTAGGTCACAATCGCCAGGACAGTGGGCTACGTGCTGGCCGCTGTATCTGGCAGAGCAAGGGCAGCTGGGCCTTGGGCACCTGGATTGTAGGAACAGTTGAATCAGTGATGATCTGAGGAAGCAAGTGGATGCAGAGCAGACGTGGCTTAGGTGGTGAGAGAGGGCATGAGTTGCCTACAGCTTCTGTGACGTCACAGTCGGGAGTGAGGAGCCTGGCCCGGCCCAGTGCATCACGCGAGGCTGCAGCCTAGGTGCTGCCTAGCGGTGCCGTCAGGGCCCGGCCCAGCTTCCAAGCTGGTGCACGTGGTTGTGGGCGGGACTCTGTTTCTCCCTGGCTATCACGCTTCCTCTCTGCATGGCTGCTGGCCGGAGGCCGCCCACTTCCTTGCCACGTGAACCATTCCGCAAGGCACCTCGGGGCAGGGCGGCCAGCTCGCATCAGAGAGGAGCCAGACGACAGCTAAGACAAGCACCGGTCTCGGACGGGACAGCTGTCACTTTGGGGGGGTTAAAAGCGAATGACTAAGTCCCACCCCCCCAAAAGGCGTGGGGCCCAGCAGACGGGCCATTTGGGAGCTATTTGGATGCCCTCCTCCAACAGGAGAATCTGGGAAGGAGGAGTAGCCAGGGTGAAAGAAGAGAGGGAGTCAGAAAGTCGGAGGGGGCAGAACCTGTGTATCAGACACTGTCTAGAAAATGAGACCTTGGGGGGTCGGGAGAATTGGAAATCCGCAGTGTTTTTAAGGGGAGGACAGCTGGGGCGGGAGAGGAGCTGGGAAGGTGGAGTAGCTGGGAGGAGGGCAGGCGAGGACCAGGAGGACCTGGGTCGCCTCTGCGAGGGCTGTGAGCATCTGAGCCCATCCATGCGTTTGGCTTCACGGCAGGTGAATTTGTAGGTGGGGCTTGTCTGTGTAGGTGCCCCAGGCCCTGTGCCCAAAGGAGGCAACGCTGGCACTTGGCTGATCCCATCTCAGATGGGATTCCAGGGGTCATGCCTGCTGCTTTGGGGCTCCCTCCTGCCCCCAAGGCCTGCTCCCTCTGCTGTGCTGGGTCCCCAGGAGCCAGTCTTAGAGGGGACAACCCTTGCCAGCACTTGAAAGGACACTTTCCTCCTTGGCTACCCACCCCGCTCCCAGCAGGCACTGTATCCTCCTCACCCCCTGCCCACTTCCCCTGGGCTGGGGCCAGTGCGTTGGAGCACACTCGTGCCGTCACACACGCTGGAGCTGGGCAGGGTGCTGCATGGACAGGCTGACATCGCAGATAGCTACCACTGGACTTGGAAACCACCAGGGACAACGGGGCCTACAGGAACACCTGCTCCCTGGGATCACACCAGGCTGGGCCAACCCCTGCTGGGAACAGGGAGCAAAGTCCTAGAAGTCTCCCGGGTGCTGTGCACCCGGGGCTGCCCCGTTCCCCTCCTCAGGCAGCAAGGGAGCTCAGCCCCAGCCCGCCTCCTTTCAGGCCTCAGCGACCCCTCTGAGTCTCCCCAGGCAGGCGCAGCAGCGCCCCTACCAGGGTTTGTCCTAAGGATGCAGGTTCAGCCCAGGCAACAGCACAGCCAGGACCCTAAGACCCTGGACCGTGAGCAGCCAGAGGGGCTTGCGGCCTGTGCTGAAGAGAAACACCCCGGAGCCCTGCTTCACTCATGTTCTTTCTCTGAAACACAGCAGGGAGCTCCTTTGGAGGCAGTGGCAGTGAGGGGTCCCAGCCCCACCAACCTTTGCCCTCATCGACACCCATCCCAACCCCCCGGCACTCACAATGGCTCCTGCAAGGCAGTGCTGCTGAGTGGTTAGGGCTTGACCGCGGGAGCCCAGACAGTCTGGATCTGAAGTCTGGCTTTGCCACTCAGCGTCTGGGTAACCTTAGGCAAGTTACCTAGCTGTGCCTCGATCTCCCCACCAATAAAATGGGTCTGTGTAGTGCTTACCTCTTGCGATCACTGTGAAGAATCGGTGGGTTCAGGCAGATCAAACACTTAAAGCAGAGTCTGTGCATGCTAATTGCTTCACACGTGTTGGACAAAGCAAGTTGGTTCTTTTAAAGTTCGTCTGAAGACCACTTAGGTCCTGGCAAGGAACCTGGAGTTTCCAAGAAGTGGACCTGAGTCAGAACCCCGGCGTTATCACTCTCTAGCTGCGCGCTTGGGGCCCTCTTGTCTTGGGGCCTCAGTTTCCATATCTGAGCAATGGGGGGGGCACTCCCTCATTCTGTACATGGCAGACAGAGCTCAGTGGCTGTGCAGAGCAGGGCCCCGGGCTGCTCCGTAATTGTGTGTGCCTCACCCCAGAAATCCAAGATCTCCACCTTCGAGAAGATGTGGGCCTTCATGAGCAGCAAGCCGTCGGCGCTGGTGAAGAACAACGAGGAGGGCATCCAGAGGACGCTTACGGCTGACTACGCGCTGCTCATGGAGTCCACGACCATCGAGTACGTCACGCAGCGGAACTGCAACCTCACCCAGATCGGGGGCCTCATCGACTCCAAGGGCTATGGCATCGGCACGCCCATGGGTGAGCGGGGGCTGTGGGTGGGGACCAGGGCTGTGGGCAGAGGCCGGGCCACCCCTTCCCCATCCCTACACACACCCTGGTCCCGGCTCCCGCTCCCGCTCCCGCTCCCTCCCCCAGCTCCTCCCAGTGCACCTGGGATGGAGCCACATAGCTGCACTATCAGCCCAAGCCTGAGCAATGAGAATGGGGACAAACAGAGCGGGCAGTCTGTTCCCTGGAGGCCGGGTTTACCGTGCCTCAGCCAGGGCTTCGGGGCTTCCAGGGTGTTCAGTGGGCTAGACCCTCCCACCTCGCATCAAGATGTCCCCTCCTTCGTAGGCGGCCCAGAGGGGCCTCCGTGTGCGCTGACCGCCCGGCCCCTCCCTGCAGGCTCCCCATACAGGGACAAGATCACCATCGCCATCCTGCAGCTGCAGGAGGAAGACAAGTTGCACGTCATGAAGGAGAAGTGGTGGCGGGGCAGCGGCTGCCCAGAGGAGGACAGCAAGGAGGCTAGCGCCCTGGGCATCCAGAAGATCGGCGGCATCTTCATCGTCCTGGCCGCCGGCCTCGTCCTGTCCGTGCTGGTGGCTGTGGGCGAGTTTGTGTACAAGCTCCGCAAAACTGCAGAGCGGGAGCAGGTGAGCTGCAGGGCCAGGGGGAGGGGAAGGGGGCAGGAGAGGCCTCCTGCTGGTTCAGCCTCTCCCAGCTGCTCCCCAGGGAGTCCCGCCACCTGCTCCCACCATGGCTTCTCCCACCACTGTCCCTCCATCCCCGCCACGCCAGCGTCCCCTGCAGCCACAGCCTCCACGCTTCCCCACGGCTGTCCACAGTGCGTACTGATCCAGTGCCCCGCTTAAAACTCCATTCAAGCCGGCGCCGCGGCTCACTAGGCTAATCCTCCGCCTTGCGGCACCAGCACACCGGGTTCTAGTCCCGGTTGGGGCGCCGGATTCTGTCCCGGCTGCCTCTCTTCCAGGCCAGCTCTCTGCTGTGGCCAGGGAGTGCAGTGGAGGATGGCCCAAGTCCTTGGGCCCTGCACCAGCATGGGAGACCAGAAGCACCTGGCTCCTGGCTTCGGATCAGTGCGATGCGCCGGCCGCGGCAGCCATTGGAGGGTGAACCAACGGCAAAAAGGAAGACCTTTCTCTCTGTCTCTCTCTCTCACTGTCCACTCAAAAACCTCCATTCAAACCGTACCTGCCGTTGGCCTGTGTCGGACCCTCCAGGGGGACTCTGGGAGCTGGCTGATGGCTGCACAGGGGTTCATTACACTCTTGTTTCCACTTGTGCCTAGGTTCAGACATTTCCCTAATCAAAAGTTTACAAAAGAAAAGTGAGGAGGACCGGTCCAAGCAGGCAGATGGTTAAGAAGGCGTGATTAATCCAAGCATGGCTGGGCAGTGGCTCTGGGTCCGGGCAGCAAATTAGCATCGCAGGGTGAGAGTTTTAAGTGCTAATGCCCTGGCCTCTCTCCCAGAGACTCTCTGTCTTAATTGGCCTGTGTTGGAGCCGGCGCTGGTGTTTCCAGAAAGCCCACAGGGAGGGTTTAATCGTGCACCTGCATTGAGGGCTGCCGGGCTGCAGGGCATTGGCCCTCACAGAGAAGTTCAAGTCCAGTGTGGGAGGAAGTGGCAGTCCCATTAAACACGGGCGGCTTGTGTGTGGGCCACAAATGAACTGCAGCCCCTGGTGACCAGCGAGCCTGAGTCAGCACAGAGGAGGGGGACGACACCGCCGGGTGATGAGGCAGCCGGAGGCACATGAGCCTCCCAGCACTGCTGGGAGAGGCGGGAACAGGCGCATTTCCAGGAGACAGTTCACACCCCTACGTGCTGCCCAGCGGTTTCCACGTTTAGCGAGGCACACTGTGGATGTGGTCAAGGGCACCATGAAGTTGTATTCCCAGGGTGCTTGCTCAAGTATGAATTACAGCCAGAAAGCCTGGGGGAAAGCCTGAATGTCCCACAGCAGGAAACCATTAGGAAAAAACTACGATTAAAAAAATCCTATGATGCATCCAAAAAATAGCCACCAAATTCTTTAGGAATTCCCACTGTAATCAGAGGGCGTTCCAAGTTCTTCTAAAAAGGTGAGTGCCATCCCACTCGCTGGCCTCCCCCTTCCTGCACCTCTCTCCCTTGCCTGCTCCATGCACAACTGGCTACATTGTTAGTTCTTACTACACTAAGCCTGGTTCTGCCTCAGGCCCTTTGTACATGCTGTTCCACCCACCTAGAATGCCCTGCCCCTGGAGTGCCATACTCTTTTATTGTGGATTGATTTTATTTGAAAAGGGGAGAGAGACAGACAGAGTGAGAGAGAGAGAAAGAGGGAGGGAGAGAGAGAGAGATCTCCTTTCCTCTGGTTCACTTCCCGAATGCCACAACAGCTGGGGTTGGGCCAGCCCAAAGCCAGAAGCCCAGAACTCAGTCTGGGTCTCCCACATGTGTGTCAGGGACTCAGTGACTTGAGCCATCACCTGCTGCCTCCCAGGGCACATTAGCAGGAACCTGGAATTGGGAGCAGAGCCAGGACCCAAACCCAGGCACTCTGATATAGGGTGTGGCCCACACCAAATGCCAGCCCCCAGCGTTCATCTCTTCTTGACACCTCCTAGCCATTCAGGTTCCAGCTCACGTGTCACCTCCAAGTATGCTTCCCTCCCTGTCCCCACTCCCATGTTGCTGCTTCATTGTCACAGAGCTAATCACGGGCTGTGCTCACTTATCTGTTCACATGATTGATGTCTGTGTCCCTCCCAACGTTAGACCCCGAGCTCCCGGAGGGCTGGGACCTTCCCTGCCATCACTGCCATACGCCCAAGCCCCAGAGCGACACTTGGCACACAGCAGGCCCTTAATGAGCATTTGCAGCGGGGAGGAAGGCGGGTGGAGGGAAGGCAGTGTTGTGACAGGTCACACGCAGGAGGAGCTGGAGCCAGAGTTCAAAGCCAGGTCTCCACTGCCCCGCACCCACAGCCTGCGTATGGCGGCCCTGGCCTCACTGGGCAATCGCAGCCCCCATGGCCCCTGTATGGCAGCCTCTGGCAGTGGGCCTCACAGAGCCGCTGTGTCTGGTATCCATGGCAACGCTGGACTTGGCAGGCCCTCTTGGCCACCTGCAGAGGCCCAGGCCAGGAGGCCACTGCCACCCATCAGCACGACAAGGACCTGCCTCCCACGTGCCTGAGAAGCAAGAGCTGGGCTTTCCTGGGTGGGAGGAACGGGGCTCTTGCTGTTGGTTAGAAGCCCTCCCGGCAGAAGGGCACCTGCGCATGCCTAAGGTATTCCTGGGGCCCTGGCTGTGGGCCAGGCCGTCTGCTGGGGGGATTGGCTCATGGCACCAAAAGTGGCTGGTACCTGCCCTGAGAGTCCAGGGGAAAGAATTCAGACAGGTAAGCCAGAGCTCCTCAGACTTGATCGTGCATGGTGATCAGAGCGTCAGTTTGCTCCTCTGTGAAATGGGCATAAGATGACACTACCAGCCCTACCTATTATAGCCTCCAAACCAGAACGTGAGGCTTAGAGAGACAGCTAGCGAACTAATCAATCCCCCCGCAGGGACAGAGGATGGGGTGGCTGAAGCAAGGTTGTGGGAGGAGGGCAAGGAGCTGGCCCGAGCCGCAGGCCCAGACCTCACCCATGTGCCCCTTTTCCTCCCTCGCCCTCCCCCCGCCCCCAGCGTTCCTTCTGCAGCACCGTGGCCGATGAGATCCGTTTCTCACTCACCTGCCAGCGGCGGGTCAAGCACAAGCCGCAGCCTCCCATGATGGTCAAGACCGACGCCGTCATCAACATGCACACGTTCAACGACCGCCGGCTTCCGGGCAAGGACACCATGACCTGCAGCTCCTCCTTAACCCCCGTGTTCCCCTAGGCACGGGGGGCGTGGGGACTGCAGGCCTGGGGTGAGGCACAGGGGAGCAGAGGAGACTGGAAGGAGTGCTCCCTGTCCCCGCATGGGGCTCCTGGTGGGTCAGGAGCCATCTGTGCGTCCCTAAGCAGGAAACCAGCAGGCCAGCCATGCAGGCTCCATTCTCGTTCCTTCTATGGGTTTCTAGAACTGCCAGCCAAGATAGCCATGGCCAAAGGAAGCACACGCCTCTCTCAGGCCAAATTCACCTGCCCCTCCGTTCTCCGGTGGAGTTGGAAGTTCCTGCGAAGCTCCCTGCAGGGGCCACAGAAAATAGGAGATACCTCTTCCCCAAGAGCCTGGGCCCCCAGGCATGACCTGGAGACCAGAGACACGAACCTTGGGCGTCTTGAGGTCGCTATGGCATGGTTGCCGGTGGGAGCCGTGATGAGGGCTGGCCATCCCAAATGCATGGACCGAACAGACTGACCACAGGGTCCTAGCCTTCTGGACTTGATGTCACTCACGGCAGCCCCCGTCTGGGCGAAGCTGAAGGGGAACAGAGGAGTCTGGGAAAGAGAAGGAAGACAGAGGCCGCCATTTTGGATTCTGGTGGACAATTTCCTGATGGCTCTCGCTACTCTAGAAAGTCTCCAGGAAGTTGGGGAAGTAGCACAGAAAATCCTCCCCTGCGTTCTGGCCACAGAGAGGACCCTCAGTCTCACGACAGATGCCCCGAGACTCAGCTGGTATCTGACGCCCATAGGCTCTCAAGCCACCTGCTGCCACCTCGCTGGCTCACGTCTCTTCCAAATCCCTTTAGCATGGGGGAGCCTGGGATCTGTGCAGCTCCCCGTTCCTGACCGGCTGGCCTCAGCCTCCCTTCATGGTCGTGGAAGGAGAAGAGTGGCCAGGATTGAAGTGACCATCACGACACCTCTCTGCAGAAGAGCGCTCTCGGTCTGCCACAGGCTGACGTCGGGGTCCGCTGGAAAGGCCGGTGGAGACGTAGGAACCCCTTGCCTCCTAGCTTCACCAGACCTAAATATGCACCCCAGGGGAAGGAAGCTTCCTGGGCCAGGCTGGCGTAGCTGGCAGAGGCCCCAAGAGTGGAGAGACAGAAGCTGCCTCCCGGAGAGTTAGCCAAAGACCCCACCCAGAGACACAGGCCGTGATGGTCTCTTGTCCCGATTGCTGTGAGCCTGTGGACCTGGGCAGAGACAGCAGAGAAGCAGCAGTCGGCGGGGTCCCAGCCCGGGGGTTGCCCGAGGACCTGCGGGTTGCAGCTTGCTGTGATGAGTGCCCTAGAGGTCTGTGACTAGAACGTGAAGGTCAGGTGCAAAGTGTCCTTAAAGAGAGCGTGACGTGACGGGGCCTGCCAGCTCCCTGTGAGCCAGGCAGGGGATCGAGGCTGCAGCCACTCCCTGCCGCCTGTCTCTTGGTGCTGCCTGGGGAGCCTGGCTGCGGAAGAGCTGCACTGGGTTCTCAGGGGCCTTCGCAGCTGGGGTAAGGAGCAGCTGTAGCTGAACAGGAGACCCTGGGGATGGGGTGGGGCCCGTCCCTCCTCTACTCTGTGAGCTCCAGGGCTCCGCCCCCTGCTGCAGCCCTAGTCAGCTGTAGTCAGCCCTGCCTGACACGGAAGGATAGGAGAAGCCATGCTGAGTGAGCGCTGGGCATGGGGGAAGGGCAGAGCAGGGTGTGGGGCACAGTCCAGGGCGTGCAATAACCAGAGGCTCGACTAGGACTGTGTGTGTTAACACGTTTGCGCACCTCCCCACCAGTGAACTGAGGATAAGGGAGATGAGTCTGGACCGGCAGCAGGAGCCCCATCTATGTAAAAACCAGGAGAAGCCATGTTAAGAAGGGGAACTGGTGAGCATGTGTGTGCATGCGTGCATGCATGAGTGTGTGTGTGTGCGTTTGTGCACTGAAGGGCACAGGATGGAGGCAAGAGAAAGCCTGCAGCATGGCCACATGTGTCTAAGAAGAGAAGCCATGACCTCAAAGGCCTACATGCAAGTGTGTGTACACAGGCGTGTGCAGGCTGGGTGTGCAAGGAGCCGGGGGAGCAGGCAGCCATGCAACACGGATCAGTGCATGCTGCACGTGAGAAGCCCTGTGGCAGAGGAGTTTGTGAGTGTGCTCACGTGTGTGTTCCAGCTCACGGCAGGAGCAGAGACAGACAGCCAGTAGGGAAGGCAAGCGTCAAGGCCCCCCGTCGTGGGCAGACATTTGTCACGGAGGTTTCTGCATGGCGTGGGCAGATGCACAGGGACACGGGCCACACGGGGAGAAAGCCTTCAGGGGGAGCTCATGGCTGGTGCCTCTTTTGCTATTTGAAGGGCAAACATTTTTTTGTTTTTGTTTTTGTAGTTCCCAGAAAACAGGGTTCTTATGAAGGTACCTGTCAGTTCGCCGCCACCAAGCACAGTCACCCACAGTCTTACTTTGTACAACAGTTTCATAGCACATCCACACCCACATCACACACACACATGTGTGCTTTGTGCATGATGCTCTATGAATGTGTCATGTCCTTCTGAGGCTATGCACACAAGTAGATTGTTATGGGAAGAAGCAAGGGAAGTGGTGTGGGGTAGGTTTTTTCTTACAAGGAACAAGGAAGGATGGCTGAATAGAGGCACAATTCAGTGTCTGGACTCCCCAAGGGAGTGGGTGGCAGGCTGCATGAGCCCCTTCCTTATGTCCCTGGGTGCGGCTCAGGTTCAACCTATGCCTGGTGTCCTGTGTTGGTCCTAGAGACCAGAGCAGCGGAGACCAGCTCTGCCCGAGTCTGAGCTGGGTCTCTCCCAGGCGGCTGCAGGTGATGCTACACCTGTGCTGTGGGAGGGGCGGCCAGGGGGCGTTCCCGGTGGAGCAGACCGTGTCACTGAAGTTGAGACCTGCCGTGCCGGGGATATCGTGCACGCCTGAGCACCCACGAGAGGCACTGACCGATGAGTGGCAGAAAGCGTAGGAGCAGAAGGCGGGATTCCGCCAAGCAGGTGCTGCCCTGTCCTGCCCGGTCCCACGTGCCAGACCTGAACACAAGAGAGCCCCCGCCTCGCCTGCAACGCTAGTGCCTGCTCTCCGTCTGCTCCGGCTGGCCACGTGGAGGGGTGGCATCGAGAAGATGCCTGCACCTGCCAAGACACTGGGTCTTTGCACAAAGAGTGCCCCGTTATGTCCGCTCCTGACCTGTTGCTGGCTGCTGTGCTGCAGGTGGCCCCAAGACAACCCTGAGAGCTGTCACTGTCCAGGCGGCCTGCTCTGCAAGGGCCCCCGAGAGAACTGCCCCCTGGCCCAGGAATGGGGCTCTGAAATTCTGAAGGAGGCAGAGCCGCCCCCTCCTCACCGCCTCACCCTGAAGAGCACATCCTGGCCCCCTCCCCCAGGCCTGGCCCTGGAAGATGGAAACCCTGGCCTGGGACGAGAAAGGCCCAAGAGGCTAGAAGCCGCTGCCCTCTGAAACGCCAGGAACACTGAAGTCAGACGGGGGCACACAGTCACCCGGAAGAGCCAGGAGCCCCTCCCTGCATCTTCCAGGAGCTGCTAGCAGGGGGCCGCTGACTGCTGCTCCATCGCTCAGCATGAAGTCCCCACAATCCCAAGCCGTTCCCAGCTATCCACACGAGCTGTCTCCAAACAGGCCAGACTTTCCGGCCACTGTCCGTGGCCTGGGTGGCCACACACCTGGAAAGGGCCTGGCAATTGGGAGCCACAGCTGCACGAATCGAACATCTGAGTCTGGGCCCAGAACCACGGATGCACGCAAGCCCTGGCGGCTCCAGCTCTGCCGGGGGTGGGGGGTGGGGAGGGGGTGGTCTCTGGATCAGGCACATCTGGAAGGCCTAGGCAGGGTGGGTGCACATCTGGAACGAGCCCAGTCACTCACCAGGATGGAAGGGCCCTGCCCTCTGTCCCCAAGGCGGTTTGCATCCAGCCCTCAGGTCAGTTCTGGTGTTGCCCTGGGGTTTAAGTTCCATGTGGAGTCACAAAACTGTTTTAGGTAGAAGGCTACTGTTCTGTACAATATATATATGAATGTAAAATATATATATATATTCTGTATATATATATATATATGCACAGTGTACATATGACCTGCAGCCCCTGTGTATACACCCCTCCCCCGCACGTCTGCACACACAGAGCGTACGCAACCCAGCCAGTGTGGCTGGGGACCAGGTGAGAGGCGGGCGCGCAGCCGGGTCCGAGGTGGAAGGTGCAGAGATCCCCTTGGCAATGGGGAAGGCCTCACCTCCATCTGAGCCGCAGACCCTGAGGAAGACAGGGCAGAAGTGCACAGGGCTGCCGGGGAGGTGGAGATGGGCAGGGGTGGCCCAGGGCCCTGGTCTCCTCCTGGGAGCCTGAGGCAGGACAGCTGGGAGGCTCCAGTGCCAGGACGGAACTCGAGTGCCCAGGCAGTTCACAGCAAGCCGAGGACTGGGAGAGGGCCCCTCCCCAGGCCTCCGTGCAGCCTTTGCAGAGTCCCCAGGTAGGTGCCAGGCTCCACCTGTCGTGCCCCCAATCCTCACCTGCACACACATACAGAGGTCACATCTAGGTCAGCCCCATGGGAAAAGCATGGCCCAAGGGTGTTCCCAGCATGCAACACCACATCCTCTGGCCCCGGTGGTGGGCCCTGCCTTCTAGAACAGAGAGGGCAGATCACCCTCGACTGTGTCTATTTCACAGATCGGAACACTGAGGCCTCCAGACATGGGGACGCAGCCATAGACTAGAGTGAAACGCCAGCTGAGAGCATGCCCCGTCTCCCAGAGCCGGGGACCCAGGCAGATGAGAGGCGGGAGGGCACGTTCTGCCCCAGCAGAGCCCAGGCCATCTGCCTGCCCCTCTCCCGTCGGCCACTCTTCCCCAGCAGGGCACCCAGCAGGTAGCAGGCCTCTGGCCTTGGCTTGCCCGGAGCTGTCTGTTCGCAGTTCCGGTCCCAGAGCCCCTTCATGGGCCTGAGCACTGCTGGGGCACACCGGGAGGAGGAGACCCAAGCCGGGGTTTCCTTGGGGTCAGGAACCCTCCCCCAGCTTCGGCCCCAGGTTCCCATCCTGTGGTCCGCTCCTATCCCTGGGTCCGCCTGCAGGGCCCCCGGCCAAGCGTGTCTGAATCCAGCCCCTGCCAAGGGCCTTGTCCTGGCTCCCCAGGGACCTCCGTGCCACTGTGCTCCAAGTCTCCAGCCCGCCTCTGCCGGGGCCTACTTCCTGCCTGAACCCTCCATGGCAGAGCCCCCCGCCAGCACCCTGGGCCTGCGAGAGCCCCGGCCTGTCCCTCCACCCAGTCCGGCGTGCCTGGACGCCCCCACGGTTCCCACACACTGGTCTCTGGGCCATTCAGGGGATACCCTTTGTGGACATGCAGAATTTCTATGAATATAGTTTTTTGTAAACATTTTGTAACAATTTGGGTTTCATAGTAACTGTGTTACTTGCCAATCATTCTAGGCTGATGTAAATAAATTTCCAAACAAATCCGATTATTTTCCTTTTTAAGACACTGTGATATATCCAAGTGCACAGTTTGCTGTATGAAGTAATATGGTTTTAAATTTTAAATAAAGAGATGTTTCTAGAAAACAAGGTCCCCTTGAAATGCATTTGCTATTTCTTTCCTCTGCTAGAGTGTGCCAAGCGGGTGACACTGGTGTCTTCCCATCACAGTGTCCTGGACCGGAGACCCTGCTTCCTGGCAGGTGGGTGGCTCCAGCCCAGGTCCTTGGTCTTGTTTTAGATAGCCAGGCTGCCCAGTCGGTCCTTGAGTCTGTGTGACTTCTGTCTTCCTTTCTGGTGGCCGGGTCCCTCCCCGGCTCATCTTCCCCCGCAGAACGACCTTGGAAGTTGCCAGGTCTTTGCCTGACCCTTCCCTTTGGCTGGTGAGGTCCAGTGGGCGTCTCCTCCAGGCTCGGTGGCCCAGAGGTCTTGCCTGAGCTTGTGAGAATGAGGAAGCCTGAAGGTGCTCACTCACTGGATATGCATACTGCATATGGATCAGGGTTGAATACGGGGGGTTGCAACTCCCATGAAGCCTTGACAGAGCAAGGCCAGCCTGGGCCTCCAGGACCCACCTAGCCAGGGCGAGACGAGCTCTGAGCCAGGACCTGGAGCTGGGAGGGAGAGACCCATGCCGGAGTTGCCACCCGGGCTTCCAGAAGTCTGCATTGTGAAGCTGCCGTCTTCAGCCCCGGTCAGAGTTGCTTCTCCTCCCCCCAGGAAATGCAAGATCAACAGTGGAGTGGCTATGAGAACCTCTTGTAGCCAGGACAGGAGCAGCCCTAGAGGGAGCGAAAGGGAACAGGAAGATGTCTCTGCCTCACCTCTGCCTCCAGGCCTCCTGCCGATGAGGTGATTGGTGGAGACTGATTTGCATCCAGCACCCTGCAGGCTCCCCCAGGACACCATCAGAAAGGCAGTGGTGTGTGCTGGGTACTTCCCAAATGCAGGTGCTGTGCTAAGTCCTTAACACACACTACAGGTGGAGTCCCCCTCCTCCCAAATGTTTTTTTGTTTTTGGATTTTTGAACTTGCCTGTACAAAATACCATATCTTGAGGAAAGGATTCATGTCTAAGCATGGAATCCATGGGTTGTACATTCCTCATCCACACTGGATGTCACCTTGCACTGACTGTGTCCCGCCCCAGGAGGTCTGATCTGGAATTTGTCACTTGCGTCATTTGTCATGGCGACACTCAAGATGTTTAGAATTCTGGATTTCAGGTTTTCAGAGGAGGGTCCTTCCACTTGTGTCCCTTTCCCTTCTCCCTTCAGACGCCCACCCACGTGACTCACATCTGCCCTCTACCTGACCTGTCATTCCTCAGTGCTGTGATTGGACTAGCGTGGGCAGGGGTCACTGGTGGTCCTATCAGCTATGACCAAGGGGAGGGGGTGGGGCCGCAGAATACAACCCAGGCCCTTTGCTTTGGGAGGGTACCGAAGCTGGTTGATTTCAAAGAAGGCTATGGGTTTGGCAGGCCTCTTGTTAAAGGCACAGGCTCCTATTCCCTCAGCCAACCAGGGCCAGTAAGCCAGCCAAGGCCCCAGCCATGTCTACAGGCTGGAGAGGAGGTGAGGAGGCCGGGACCCATCGGGCTGCAGTGTCTGAGAGCTCCAGTCTACCCTGGAGCCACAGCCCCGGAAGTGGTCATGGTTTCAAGCCAGGTAGGGGTCCAGGGAAGGCTCTGGGTTGAAGCATACCAATCAGTGTGTAGATTACTTAGGACAGCATGAGCCAGCAACGGATAGTAACGATTGGCATTGAGAAAAAGGAGGAAGAAGGGAAACTAGGGCCAACTGTGTGCTGGGGCTCTCTGGGGCTCAGAGCCTAGCCCAGAAGCCCATCTGGGGCACCCTGGGCTCTGCACGAGGGTCAGCCAGGCCTCTCTGGATGCTGGAGTGGTGCTGAACACCTCTGGACAGAGCTGGGGGACAACAGCACCCAGGCAGCCCCCAGCCTCCCTGAGAAGCCCTTACTTTGCCTCTCATAGACCATCTGCCCCTGGCTGCCCGCCCTGGCCTAGCGCGCTCTGCCCACGCCTCTGCCCTCTAGGAAGCAAGGCCTCTCCCCACCCTGCCTCCCAAGAACAGAGCAGGAGGCTGCCCTCTCCCAGGGGCTTCCCTGCTCCCTCCCCCAGAAAGACCCTGGCACCCACAGCACCAAGCACCAGGCACTCTCCCTGGGTTGCCAAGGGACTGTATGAGGGCTGTGCGAGCAGCCATGTCCCTGTGTCAGCTCGTCTCTGCCTCGGCCTCTCCCAGATCAGTTCTGTAGGCTCCCCGTCTCCAGGAAGCAGAACAAACTTTGGCTCCCAGTTCTGGCTCAGTGGGCCCCAGAAGCAGGACATTCAAGGGGCCTCCTCAGTCACCAAGGCTGTGGCAAGGAGCAGAGACCACTCAGACTCATGGCTGCAGAGGGTCGGGGGGATTTTTTTAAAGATCTATCTATCTATCTATCTATCTATTTGAAATGCAGATTGACAGAGCAAGAGAGAGAGAGAGAGAGAGAGAGAGATCATCCATCTGCTGCCAAATGGCAGCAATCGCCAGGGCTGGTCCAGGCTGTAACCAGGAGCTTCTTCTGGGTCTCCCATGTGGGTGCAGGGCCCCAAGCTCCTGGGCCATCCTCCACTGCTTTCCCAGGCCATTAACAGGGACCTGGATCCAAAGTGGAGCAGCTGGGACTTGAACCTGCGCTCACAAGGGATGCCAGCATTGCAGGCAGTGGCTGAACCCGCTGTACCACAATGCCGGCCCCTGGAGCTTCGTTAATAAGAGGGGTCTGATGGAAGCACAGGCCATCCCCCCCTTTCCTTTTCCTTGCTTATGGCAGGAAGTGGCCACCACCACCACCATCAGCCAGCTCCAGGGCCCAGCAGCAGCTACCCCGAGAGAAAACGTCCCCATTGCAAGTCCTCTGCCTTCCCTTCCGCAGAGAGCACGGCGGGGTCTTGTGCCAGGGCTGCATCCAGGAGGCGGCAGTCGGCCCGCAGCTCTCAGGCTTTGACGGGCACACAAATCCCTTGCAGATGCTGTTCAAATGAAGGCTCTAGACACCCCTTGGGGCTGGCTGGGCCTGAGACTCTGCATTACAGACAGGCTCGAAGCTACAAGCCCCACGCACCCCCTTCAAGAGCAGCCAAGAGCTGAGCAGCCCCGTTTGACTCTTCTCTTGCCCACCTGAAATGCTTATTCCCGGCACCTCCCACTCCAGGCCTCTCCTCTAGCGTTAGATGTGTGTGCTGGAGGATGCTCACGCCCTTCAAGATTCAAGGTCAGGGCCGGCGCTGTGGCACAGTGGGCTAAGCCTCTTGCTGTGGTGCGAGAATCCCATATGGGCACCAGTTCGAGTCCTGGCTGCTCCACTTCCAATCCAGCTCTCTGCTATGGCCTGGGAAAGCTGTGGAAGGTGACCCAATTGCTTCGGCCCTTGCACCAACATGGGAGACCCAGAAGAAGCAATTGGCTTCTGGCTCCTGGCTTCAGATCAGCTCAGCTCCAGCCGTTGCGGCCATCTGGGGAGTGAACCAGCAGATAGAAGACCTCTCTCTCTCTGTCTCTCCCTCTCACTGTAACTCTGCCTCTCAAATAAATAAATAAAATCTTAAAAAAAAAAAAAAGCTGCAGGGTCACTCAGGGTTGCTCTGCTAGGACTGATGCACAAGCCCTGCCCCACCCCGGCCCTCTGCAGTAAGAGCAAGGACTCCGGACTTGAACTTTGCAGGTTCTGCCCCTTGCTCTGGCTCTTCTCTGAGCTGCAGGCTGGGGACCCTAAGACCCACCTCTCAGGACTGTGTCTGCCCAGAACACAGTCCAGCTCAGCCAAGGTTAGCCTGTAATGCAGAGTGCAGGTGTGGAGTAATCAGACACCTCGCCACCATGCCGAAGGCCAGAATAACCCAGGCACAGAGGAATCAGAAAGCTAAGGGAGCAAAACACTCAGCTTTCAAGTTCAAAGCGCTGGGTCCCCAATCTAAGGCCAAAAGGTCTAGACACTCCCATTCCACCACCTCCCGAGCTAGACCAAAGATTCCACAGGCCAGAGGGGGCCATGGAGCTGGGGAGGGACCACCAGACAGAAAAGGGGGGTCCAGGTTCTGCTGGACACCTGTGTCTAGTGTCAGCCCCAAGGAGCCCTGGGGAGTCCTGGGGAATGGAGCCACCAGCCTCCAGCTGTCCTGAGTCCAGTACAGAGCCTGGCCGACAGGCCTCAGTGCCTGCCCAGGGGCCACTTCCTTAGTGGCCACAGGACTCCCCCTGGCCACCTCGCTCCAGTGAGGGCCCGTCTGCACCCTGAGCATTTACTCGGTTCCCTTCTCACACCCTGTGCGGCTGTAAACAACCCAGTGAGACTTGTCCAAGCACGGTAAGGGAGACTTCACTCAGGACAGTCACCACAGGTGTAGGGCCCACTGGGGTCAGGGAGAGCAGAGACGGGATTCAATGCAGCCACAGCCAGGGCAAGTGGGAATCCACAGCCCAGGTCAGCAGGTGGGAAATGACTAAAGAGAAGCAATAGGGCTTGGGGGAGTCTGGCCAAACCCCCTGCAGGATTCCTACTGCAGACAGGCCAGGTGGCTGGAGCATGAGGAAGCTGACCAGGGAGGGGAGGGTGAGGGGTGCTTGCAAACATGGATTTTAGAAGGAGGCGCACAGATGGGCCTCGCAGAAGCTTCCAAAGCAAAGCAAAGAATCTGTGTCAAGGCCATGGCCTCCTTGGAGGAATCAGAACCCGAAGTCAAGCTTCCACCCAGAGCACCCAGAAGGAAGGTGGGGGCAGGGCCAAGGAGCCGCGCAGCCTAGCCAAGTGACCTGGAGTGGAGATTTCCCTCGGAGCAGGGAGACCTCTCCCAGGTCTGGAGTTTTGTCCGCTGTTACTGTGGTGATAATTTCTGCTGCCAAAGCCTTAGTGGCTTGCAGATGACTGGGCAGAACAGTTCTGTCCCGAGTGCTGGTTGGGTTCCAACCCAGACACCCCTTGCCTTTGACCCCAACCATTTCTCCCCACTCAGGGCGCCGAGGCCTGAGCCCCACCTCCCTCAGGTCCATCCAGGTCACCAGCCTGCCCAGGCTCCAGCCACCTCC